CCAGGCACAAACACCTCCTCTATGAACTGGAGTTGAGTTTTAAGTGAGCTTTGAAAACAAACCAGGGAAAATCACAACCCAGAGAAAACCTGGCCCTGTATGCTTTTGTGATTAAAAAAAAAAGTCTTAAGGGGTTACTGCCTCTTCATCTCATTCTTACCCCTCATACTTTTAAAAAAACAGTCCATCCATTTTTAAATCACAAAGATCTGAAACCCTGAACACTTCCTAATGGTTATCTTAAAGCTGTGGAAGCAATGTATACATGGAGGAGCGCCTCAGAAACTGGTCCCACCTTTCCTGAAACGTGAACCATGTCAGGCAACACTTAGGAACATACATGTGACTAATTTTTATTTTGTTGATGTTTTGATTTTGAGACAGGGGTTCACTGTGTAGCACAGGCTGCCCTCAAACTGGTGATCCTCCTGCCTCAGACTCCTGAGTGCTAGAGTTACACACCAGAAGACCCATTATACCATATGCACAGTTTTAACCACAACTATGATTCCGTGTTACAACAATGCCTGATAGGCAGGCGGATACCCGCATGCTATGGTCTACAGTGAAATTCCAATATGAGGGAGCCTATCATAGTGTAAGAACAGTGTAGCACTGGCTGCCCACCAGACCAGCCACACCTACAAAGATGTTTTTAAAGGGCCCCAGCATGGATTTCAACATGGGTGCTGCACGCCAGGTCTGGGTGGGTGTGGGGGGGGGGTCTGATTTTTCAAGTAACTTCTTTCCATGTGAATACATGGAAAATGCCCCAAAGGCAGCAGCAAAGAAAGTCCTTTCTCTGTTGGTGAATTCAATATCTAGCACTAGTTCAGCTTTCATACATAGGTGCCCACTAACTGCTAGCTAGATCGAGTTCCTGGAAGTACATTCTTACAAATCAAATGAAACCAGATTAAAAAGAAAACAAAAGTACCTCAAGGGGGAATGGGGGAGGAGGAGGGAGGGGGAGGGGGGAGAGAGGGAGGCCGTTGATGCTCATTACTGACCTACCTTGCAACAATAACAAGGGCAGGAAATATATTCAACAATAAACAACCTTGAGACAAAGGCCAAACCCAATGCAAATATTATTTTCTATGTCTGTTCCTACGGAAAAGGCAAAGTACATTTAGATAAAAGCACAACAGTTCTTTAAAAACAAAACCGATTGACTGTATTCTTAAATCTCTGTTCTAAGAAAATTTAACTTTTCATTTAATTTTTTTAAGGCAATAGGCTCCTAAACAACTGTAACCAAGACCCATCTAACTCAGGTAGTGGGTATTCAAGAAATAAAATTTCTAAGTTAAAAAAAAGAAAAAAGCAGTAGTTCGTTCTCTGCCGTCACTACCACTTGTAGTTAATACAGGAGAGATGAACTTCCCTTCCTGCTCAAAACAACACATTATTTCTTTGTTGGAAGGCTGTAGGCACGAACAGGCCCCTTGCCTGGGCTCCTAAACCCTACAGACCATCAGTTTGGATTCAGTGTGAAGATTGTTACTGTTAAGAATCACAGAATGACCAACACTCTTTATCTGTGTGTCCATTTCTTGCCTGGCACCCGATCCTGCAGTGACAATTTCAATTGTCAATTTGTTGTAGTGCACTAATTCACGGATCTCCAAAGCTCATGAATTCAGAAAAGAAAAGGAAAAAAAAAAAAGAGCAACACCAACCTGCATTAATGTTTACTGAATAATCTATTTAGTCAAATCTTACGTCCTAGGTGGCACAATGCATTCTTCTCAATCTTTGTAATTAAAAAAAAAAAGAAATGAGTTCGAATATTATCACCTACCCTGAGACAAGTGTTTTCAAACACACAGTGCAATGCAAAGGTTTTTGTAGCTGTTGCTGCTGTTTAGTATATTCAGAGTTGTATAACCATCACCAAAAACCGAGGTTAGAACATTTTCATCACCCCAAAAATACCCCTGTAGCCTTTAGCACTCAGTTCCCCAGCTTGTCCTCCCCCAGCACCTGGGGATCAATTTCTCTCTGTAGACTGAACATTTCACATCAACGGGATCATGGGATAGTTCGCGTTCTGTAGCTGACTTCTTTCTCTATCTGTAATATTTTCAATGTCCTGGCATAGTTCACAGAGCTGTTCTTTTCTAATCCTTTCACAATGCAAACCTTTATAAACTTCAAGTCCTGAGTCCCCATGGCCCGCCCCTCCACAAAGTACAGCTGACTCCCTAACTCCCTGCAGAAGGACCTAAACTATAATTTGCTATTTACGTTCTTTCAAAAGCTCTTATTCTGGGTTCTCCTTCTGATAGGTACGAAAAAAAACTGACTTCTTTAAACACCAACATCTCACAGACCTCCATTCCTCTGACAATGGGATGTTCCCAGGCCCTAGGAAGAAAGGTGACTAAATCCTTTTTAGGAGACTGGCCACAGTAACTCTGAAGTGCATGTTGATTTCCAAAACAGAAAACAGTCCTAGATTATCTGGCTGCCACTCATAACTCCTAAACTCTCTTGTTCAGAAGCTCTGCTCAGCCTCCTGCCCAGAGCAAACAAGTCTGCAAGGCTAACTTCTCTTCAAGAAACTTCCACAGTCCACAGTTAAAGATGGAAGCACCCCACTGCTGTCACACTCCAAAGAATCGCCAATCAATCCCTAAGCCACCAAGTGAAACTGCATGGCTCAAAGACCAACTCTGTCGGGACCCAGACTTACTCCGGATTTAGTGGGCTAGCACCTTTGAGACTAAAGCTCGAGGGGGGTTCCTGTGTTTCACGAACCCCTTCCACTGTAAACAGGGAAGGGCAGACACCCGCTTGAGTCAGGACTTCAGCAGGCCCTAACCAGGATTCCTTCTAGCCATCCACCACATTTTCAGCAAGGGTTAGGAAGAACTTGGTCAGTCATCACCAGATTAAAAACAACACACGTTAAAATACCTTTCTCCTACCACCCTTGTTCTAGACAAAGAATACTGTTCATGAAGACCCAGTCACAGTGAACCTGCTTCAGATGCCTGCATGTTGCTCCAAAGAAGCCAGGCCCTGGCTGCTACTTTTTGCATTTCAGAACTTCTAATAAATAATCAAAGCAGAGAAAGCACATAGTCCAATAGGATGCCATAGTAAAATGGACTCCCTGGTAGTGCCTTCTAAACCATATTTAGTCCTTAAAGGCCAGAAATCCTCCCTGCCCCCAAACACCATCTAAACGCTTGAGTATAAGGGAGCCAGAAGCCTTCCGCCCAACCCAGTATGTTCAAAGTTTGGAAAACAAAGGACAGGAGAGCCCAGATTTGTGTGTCGGCCCAGTCTGCGCCTTCCTCCAGGCAGTAAACAGCTATAGTTCTATAAAGATCTGCTCGTACTCCGTAGTAGACATTTCTTAGAAGAAGTTCAAGGATTTGTTTATAGAAAAAGTCTTTGTTAACTACCCCAGTGGTGGGGCCGCACGCCCTGCGCAGTCTCCATCATCTTCCCTTGCTAACTCAAGACTCCATCGTGATTTTTCAAAGTTAATAGGCACCACCTGCATACATTCTGCAACCATTACTCATCCGCACGCCCTCACCTCCCCAGCCCCAGCTCGGAGACTGCATTTAAACTTTTTAATCATGTTCAAATTACTCTATCATCTCAAAACTATCAGTATGCCACAGTTTTTCCCGAGAACAAACCCCCTCCCTTCTCCTGCCACTGTGGAGAGTTCTCACTCCCAGAGACACCCCCAACACACACACACACACACACACACACACACAAACACACTCCCTCCCTCCTTCCCTCCTACCCGACACCACCAAAACAAAAGCTATCAGATTGCAAGCGATAGCGAGCGTGGAGCGATACTGCTTATGAAGTGTGTACAAAGGAAGTGCGGGGTGGGGGGGTGGCAGTTCAACCCAACTCTGGCCACAACAAAACCAAGGCCAGGGCTCCGCGCTCGCAAAACAAAAGCACCACTCCTCCACACGCACTGTCCAAACCACCGCACACGACGCCTCTCCCCCGGGCTGGGAGTTCAGGTGTCCCCTCGTGGTCGTGTGGCTGCCCCTAAACCCGTGCTGAGAGCACACGTGTGTGGAAAAGCACGTCAGCTCTGCGCATGGGTTGATGTCCCTACCACGTCTTACTTAGACGCTTTTAGGAAGAAGAGGTGTCCAGGGTTGGGTAGACACTTACAGACTGCCCAAGGGCCCTCAAAGTTGGGGATCCAAGCCTCGCACCCCCGAAGGAGTCTGAAGACTTCCTTAGGGAAAGGCCGGGAGTACATCCTGAACCCCAGAGCCACACCGATGAGCCCCGAGTCACCAAGCCGTGAGGGAAGAGGGGATCAGACGCCCACTGAATCGTTAAGATGCCAAAGGCCAAAAACCCTAGGGGCCTTACGGGACAAACAAGTTGGACGACGGGAGGCCGCGCCGTGATGTTTGGAAACGTGTCCTGGGGCCGCGAGGCCTCCCCACCCCCGCACCTCCCCCTCAAGGACAACTTGCACCCCGCGGGGCAGGAGGCTCCCGCTCGCCGCCACGGCGCACTCGGTCTAACCCCAGCAGCCACCCGCGAAACCTCCAAAGGTGCTGTCACCGTGGTGCGCTGCGCGGGATGGGCGCTGGGTGCGGAGGGGCCCGCGCGCAGGGGTGAGGAGAGGCGAGGGTGGCAGGGACCCTGGGCCCACCCAAACACCAACTAACCCACCAAGTGCCCGCGGGTGGGCTGTCCCTGCAGAGCCGGGGGGCAAGGGCTGCCCACCCACCAGGCCGCGCGCGGGACAGCGCTCCCGGGACAGCGAAAGAGAAAGCCCTGAGGCCCTTCCTGAGCATGGATGCGCTGAGCCTCGGTCGGTGGGGCTCCTGAGCCTGAAGCTCCCCTCCTGCCTTTCCGGAGAGCCCCACCCTCCGCTCCCGAGTCCCGGAGTCCGACAGCTGCGCCCGTGGCAACTGGGTTTTCCCAAACAGGGCGCAGCCCCTCGGAGGAAAAGTTCCCGCAGTGGCCGCGGGCGGCGAGCAAATACTCACTTTCTCCACTCGTCGGCCACAGCGAGAGCGCGGCAGAGAGAAACACGAGCCCCCACAGCGAGGTCGGGGACCCTCCACCGGAGCCAGACTTCATTCCTTTTATTTGGGACGAAATTCCCTTTTCTCAAAAGAAAAAAAAAGAAAAGAAAAGAAAAAGTCTCCAACTCAGTCCTCACTCTCGTTCAAAAACAAGAGCGCAAGCGACGATCCTCGGAAGGCGGCGTGGACGGGGAGGGTGGCGCGGGGCGGCCCCTTCAGCGCCGGCAGCAGCGGCCCACGGCGCGGCGGAGTCGGGAAGCCGGGGCGCGCCGGGGCGGGCTGTCGGCGTCGTCGGCCTCCATTTGCAAACCCAGAGATGCAGAAGAGGGGGGAAAACTGCACGGAACAGGAGCAAAGCCCAAATCGCCACAGGCGAGGACAAACGTCCCCAGATGCCCGGAGGGAGCGACCGCCCAAGCCTCCGCGGCGGGAGAGCGCGACGCAGTTAGCGAGACTGGTCCGAAGTCCCGGGCGCGGGCGAGGTCGGCGAGGGGTAGATATGCCGAGTGGAAATGAATGAGCGGCTCCCCCTCCTCGGGCTCCTCCTCCTCTGGGCTCCGCTCGCCGCCGCCTCCTCCTCCCTCAGCGCCGCCGCCGCGAGCTCCTTCCCAAATCCAGGACACACACACACACAAAAGCGGCGGCCGTGCAGCGCTCTGTGCTCCCGCCGCCCCGCGTCGGCCCCCGCCCGCCGCCGACTCCGTGCGCGGGGGCTCCGGCTCGCTGAAGGTCAAAGCCGAGCGCGCCGCGCGCCGTGGAGCTCTCGCAGGCGCGGGAGAGGCGTGGAGGGTCCGAGGAGCGGGGCCGAGGGGCTGTGAGCACCCAGCGCGCCGGGACAGGCTCGCTGGCGGCTTCCCCGTCGCTGGCCTCTCTCGAGTTCGCCCGGTGCGCTCGCTCCTCCTCGGTTCCCCCCTCCCCCGCTTTTTTTTTTTTTTTTTTCCGCTCAGCGGAGTTAATGCTGGTAAACAAGAACCTCAGCCTCACCGCGCCGCCGCCGCCGCCACACACTGGGGGCTCTACGCGCGCGCTCTCGGGGCCGCGCACACGTGCCCGCGCGCACACTCCAAACGTCCACAGCCGCAGTCCCGGCGCGCCGAGGGCCGGGCCCCGACTCGGCAGGCGCCAAGAGCCGGAGTTCGGGATCGCAGAGACGTGCGGAGCGGAGCGCGGGCGTGGGGAGCCCGGCTCGAGAGGCACCGCCCCCCGCGCCTCCACCCGCGCTGGCCCCCGCGCGCACACTGAGCCACGCGCGCGGCCACGCTTCTGCCCCCACCCGCACTGCGCCGGCCAGCCCTGTACGCACCCTCCCCCTCCCGCAGGACTCCAAAACACAATGCCCCGGGCGCCGGTGGGACTCGGTGGCCCCGGAGGTGGCGGGGCGGGCAGACGAGCGGGCGGGCTGCGGGCGCGGTGGGCGGGGAGTGCGGCCCCGGAGCTTCATTGAAAACAACAACAGCGCGGCTGGAGAGCGCGCTGGCCCGCTCTGTGAAAAAGCTTCATTGTTTCTTGCAGCTGTTGCAAAATAAATAAATAAGTGAATGCATGCGGCATTTTTTCGCAGCGTGGTGGAAAGCCCGGACGCGGCGGGAGGGGCACACCTGGGGGAAAGGGGACCCCCGAAGACTGCTAAGCAGGGCACTTTCCACGCCAGGTTCGGGCACCCGTGGCTGCACTCCCCGGGTGTTCCGGTGCTCACGCGCAAATCGGGAAGCGGACAGGGCGCGGCCCGCGTGGCTCTACTCGGAGGAAAGCGATCCCATCGCGGGCCCCCGAGCCCTGGAAAGGGGACCCAGACCGGCGGCCCCTCGTGCCCAGGGCGCGTCTCGGCAACGGCCGCCAGAGGGCGCGGCGGCCGCCCGGGAGGGCTGGCTCGGGGAATGTCGCCTCCCTCCCTCCAGGGGAGGAAATGTGGGGGCCCCGAGTCGGGGACCAACTCGGCTGGGTCTTGCTGGCCGGGCCTCCCATTCCCATCCCGCTCCCGCCCTGAGGGCGCTCCACCGCATCGCGCTGTTCCGGGCTCCACCACGTGGGCAGCTGCAGAGAGGGACCGCAGAACGTGCAGGGCTGCGGGAACCCGGAGCTGGGGGGCGTGTCCGAAGGGTTCCCAAGGAAGGATGGCTGGCGGGTATCCCGACCCGCGTTTTCTGGCTCGGGTCCCAACTTAAGAACGGGTTCGATGGCCTCTGCAGAAACCTACCCGCACCTGCCTCAAATCCCCCTCCTCTGTGTCCCTCTAGCATCATTGGATCTGTAAGAGACTAGAAACTAGCACCAGCCCAAGTCTCCTCGGTGATTTCCTCAAATGTGCCAGAGGAGAGATTTCCCCAAGACGAGGCTTCCCCAGGACTGCCATCTAACGAACAAACACTGCGGAGGCCAGGTCCTCAAAAGGGGAGAAGCCAGCTATGGCTGGAGAGAAGAGTTTGAAATACGTGGACTTTTAAAAATAGTGATTGCATCACGTGTCGCCCTTAATGCGGTCGGGCTTCATGACTCAGGCTAATTGATATCCACGATAAAAAGATGGCTCATAAGAGTTGTGAATGTCTGGATCAAATAGAAGTGTTTTTCTCGTAAACAGTTGAACTGTCTGGTTGGTAGAGAGGACCGGTTCTGTAGCAAAGAAAGGTTTCTTTCATTACTCGAATAGTAAAAGATTTCGGCATTACACTTATCCATCCCATCTTTCATAGGGGATTTTTACTAAATTCAGAGCTGAAAACAAATCAAAAGCTGCCGTAAAAAGAACTAAGCCCATGTTTTTCTGTATCATCTGAATCAGTATTTCCCCTTGGAAATTGTGGGCTGTGTTCAGTGAATCGGCTGTATAGAAAGGACATTTAAAAAGGAAAGAAAGAAAATTATACATGTAGGGCTGCTTTGTTTAGCTGAAACTTGCCTTAGTTTTTAAATAAATTGTTCCAGTTTTAGATGTCCCTGAACGTTAAAAAAATAAATACATTAGAATTTTAATTTACCATGCATCATTTTAAAATATAAATTCAGTCTTCAATTTTTAAAGTATTTCTTCACAGCATTCCCTTGCATCGAATGGAGTCTTCATACTTCCAGCCTGGTACTCTCAGCATATAATTCAAGTGCAAAGGAATAACATTTGCTTTCAGAATGTTTTGAGGCATATTTGTAGCCTCAAATTTTAGCAGTGATTCCTAGGTTTGTGCAACACAAAATCTTTAAATGTAATATGCTTTTAATATTAGTTATGAAAATGTTTGTGCATTTGTCCCTGTAAACACAAGTATATAGAACAAAAAGAACAGTTATTTGTAGGGGAAGTCTTTAGTTGTTGCTTTTCTTTTTTTTAACCAAAAATAATACTTTACTTGTGAATGTTTAAATGTTTTCCGTATTGGAAGTCAGTAAGATGACTGCTTTTATACAGAGAAGTTGAGTACTTAATATTTGGAAGATTAGATGAAACTGACCTTGCTTTTAGGCTCTACCTTAACACTGAAAAAGATGTTGGTTTTCACTTTCTTCAGTGGTTACATTCTGCCTACCCAATGAAACTTAATTTTCTCCAACCATGGAAATAAAGTCCTGTTTGCCTTATACTTACAGGGATGGTGACTCATACATTTTGTTTTACACCATTTTCCTCAGGCATCTTGCACATTTTCCTTTTTTGAGCAGACATTGGTTTCTTTTCATTTAAAAGAATTTTTTATTTGATAACAAGCTTCAGATCTAATTATCCTGTTGTTGAAAGTACCAGACTCTCCAGAGAAGTAACATGTATGCCGTGAACACATGAGACGCAGCCCAGAAACAAGTGTTACAGGTAATAAGGTATGTTGTGGTCAGTTTCCAGAATGAAATCTTAATCCACTGCAAGGGAGTGAACTACAGCCTTGGATATCAAGGGCAGGATCTTCTGAACAGAGTGTTAAGAAAGTATATTCAAGTTCCAGAAAACCACACAGCAGGACACCATCTTGATGAAACACTTGAATGTAAAGAAAAAAAACTGGAAAGTTTTTTTTGAGCAACAAAATTCAGTACATGATTATAAAAATAAACATATCAGTTATATAAAGGATGAATGAGGATATTTATTCCTGTGTCCACACAAAGTTCTTGCAAATATGGAAGATTTACAAACTTCCACCTTATGATTCTACTTTATGTTCCAACAATTTTCCATATATTGAATATTAAAGAAAACAAAGTATGTGATGAATTTTCCAATATAAATTTTCTAGGTTTTAATTTGTTTTGTAAGCAATTAAGAAATATTTCTAAAGAAAAACTAAAATGATGTAATTAATCTGATACTGAAGAATATATTTCAGAAGAATGCATACCCATACTATACCAATACCTTACAACAAAAATCATGAAATGAAATAAAAGAATTCACTTCGTAGGACAATTGACTTCATTAACAAATTCCCTTTTGTGAGAAGCAAACTGGCAGTTTCCAGAAAGGTTAAACATACACCAAACTTAGGCTCTAGTATTTCTGCCCCTAGCTTTTAACCAAAAACAATAAAACATGTTCACGAAAAGTAGCTATATGACAATGCCAGTAGCCACTTTATTCACTATATTGAAAATCTGGAAACAACCCAAATGTATTTCAGAAGGAGGATGGATAAACAAATCATCTACCACAACACTGCCTAGCAATAAAAAGGAGCTACCTGCTAACCCATGTGAAAACATGGACAAGCCTCAAGAGAATGTACAAGCCAGACACAAGAATACATACTGCATTAGACCATTCAAATGAAACTCAGGAGCAGGCGAAATGAATCCCGGGAGCCTAAACCCAAATCAGGCTCCTGGTTGCGCTTGGTGGGTAGGGAGTGAGGAGCTTCCATTCAGAAGAAAAAGAAACAAAGTACTTTCTAGGGTGATAGCAACTGGCCTGTCTCAGGTGGGCTATTGTGTGTTAGTATATGCATTCACCAAAACCATCAACTGTATACCTTCCACGTATGTACCTCATTATATGTGATTGCATCTCAATTTAAATGTTGAGGAGGGCAGGATGTATGTTGAAAACTTTAAAAAAAAAAAAGGTTAATCCAGTATCCCTTGAATTTGCTTGTTATATGAGT